CCCAGGCTGGTGTGCAGTGGCATGATCTCAGCTCACTGCAACTTCCACTTTCTGAATTCAAGTGATTCTCCTGCCTCAGCCTCCTGAGTAGCTGGGATTACAGGCACATGCCACCATGCCCAGCTAATTTTGTATTTTTAGTAGAGACTGGGGTTTCACCATGTTGGCAGGCTGGTCTCAAGCTCCTGACCTCAGGTGATCTGACTGCCTCAATCACCCAGAGTGCTGGGATTATAGGCCTGAGTCACCACGCCCAGCCTGGGTTTTTAATCTTAAGGAACAAATTGGATAAATGAGCAAGAATGTTTGTTTCAGTGTTGTTTAAAAGCAACAAGAAGAAAGCGTTTGTGTCCATTAATAAGGGTATTTATTAAGTAAATTATGGCAGATAAGTCCATGTAAATGAATAGAATATATTATTTAAGAATGATAATACAAAAAAAGATATGGCAAAGAAAAACAAAAAGAAAAAGAATCATAATATAAATATAAGTTTTCTATACTCGGGGATTCTCTTTCTTTTCTTCTTTCCTCTTCTCTTTACTTTTCTTCTTTTCAACGGAGTTTCACTCTTGTTGCCCAGGCTGAAGTGCAATGGTGCGATCTCGGCTCACCAGAACTCTACCTCCCAGGTTCAGACGATTCTCCTGCCTCAGCCTCCCAATCAGCTGGGATTACAGGCATGCACCAACACACCCGGCTCATTTTATATTTTTTAGTAGAGACAGAGTCTCTCCATGTTGGTCAGGCTGGTTTTGAACTCCCCACCTCAGGTGCACCCGCCTCAGCCTCCCAAAGTGCCGAAATCACTGGCATGAGCCACCATGCTCGGCTGGATTTTTCTATCAGTAGTGAGTGAACACTTTACTAGCACCTTTCACAGTTAATATGCAAAGATACGCTGATCCTTGTAACAAACTAGATGGCTGAAATCAGTTACATTTTAAACCGAGCTAAAAAGTATTTTTTTTGTTTTGTTTTGGATTTGGCTAAATATTCTTTAATTGGCGATACTTTGGTGGAATTTTCTTTTTTGGATTGAAAATATCAGTTGCTATAAATAAACAATTACCAACTGTTACCAGTCTTACCTCTTTTGTTACCTCTAGAAGAGGTATCACCTAATGCAAAATGTGCTTTCTGTTTAATTTCTAACTCAACTTGCAGTCACTACATGTCTATATATAGCTTTGGAGGTGGAAGTAGAAAGAATATGCGTAGATAATTCTGCCACTAACCAGCTGTACGCTCTCAGGCAATTTCAGTTATTTAAACCTCAGATTCTTCATTTATAAAGTTAGGTTGACAAAATGTGAGCCACCACTCATGGCCTTGTGTTTCATTCTTAAATCGATTTGATTTGCCTCTGTATAACTATAGTAGCAGGATACAACATTGAGGGACTATGACTTGACTTGCTAAAAACTTGCTTTCTGGCCAGGCTCAGTGGCTCATACCTGTAACACCAGCACTTTGGGAGGCCAAGATAAGAGGATCACTTGAGCCCAGCAGTTCAAGACCAACCCGGGCAACATAGTGAGACACTGTCTCTTAGAAAATGCACATGCTTGTGCGCTCTCTCTCTCTCTCTCTCTCTCTTTCTCTTTCTCTTTCTGTCTCTCTCTTGTTTTCTTGACCAGCCTGGGCAACATAGTGAGACATTGTCTTTTAGAAAACACACGCACATACACACACACAAAAAAAACTTTTTTTCTTATTCAGGGTAGATATATGCTTTCAATCATCTTTTTTTTTTTTTTTTTTTTTTTTTTGTTTTTTTCTTTTTTTTTCCTTTTTTTTATTTAATGGCTCATTTTCGGCTCTCTCCACCCTCCCCCTCCTGGGTTCAAGGGATTCTCCTGCCTCAGACTCCACAGTAGCTGGGATTACAGTCATGTGCCACCATGCCCGGCTAATTTTGTATTTTTAGTAGAGACGGGGTTTCTCCATGTTGGCCAGGCTGGTCTTGAACTCCTGACCTCAGGTGATCTGTCCATATCGGCTCCCAAAGTGTTGGGATTATAGGCGTGAGCCACTGTCCCTGGCCACACCCTTTTTTTTTTTTTTAATGCCTACTATATACTAGGTATTTAAAATACTGTTATATGCACTGGGAATATAGCAGTTAATGAAACAGACATTCCAGGCTGGGCAACATAGGGAGGCCCTATCTCTACAAAATAAAATAAAAAATTAGCCAGATGTAGTGGTGCACACCTGTGATCCTAACTACTCAGCATGCTCAGGTGGGAGGATGGCTTGAGCCTGGGAAGCTAAGGCTGCAGTCAGCTATGATTGTGCCATTACACTCCAGTCTGGGCAACAGAGTAAGACCCTGTCTCCAACAAAAAAAAAAAAAAAAAAAAAAAGAGAGAGAAGCAGGCAAAAATCTCTGCTATCAGGGAGTTACATTCCAGTGAGATCTTTTTGTTGTTGTTGTTGTTTTTGTTTTTTCCAGTGAGTTCTAATGAAAAATTTGGCCCTATCTTTAAGGCAACTTTACCTTCCCAGCTAATACTCTAAATATAGAGGAAGAGTTCCTTGTAAGCTAGAAGAATATTTTGAAAATATACTCCTTGCTTTACCTAATATTTTGATCCTAAAATTGCCAAAAATATTAAACTCAGGGAGAGTCATTTTCCTGTTTCCTTTTTGTTCTTCCAGAGTGGTTCCTTTTCTAACCATATATGGAGATTAGATGTAGCAGCCTCTTTTGTTTGAGAATGTAACTTTGTGATCAAAACTAGAACATTCAGAAACGTCTGATATTAGCATACTATGAATGCAGCGGCAGTCACAGATTAGATTCCCATGGGCCTCAATGACCAGTGACTTCAATTCTAATCTAAGTTCCCTCTCAGCAGTTGACCTTTGACTACAAATGGCATTGAGAAAAGAAGCAAAGTCTTCTTGCAATTCATTACCATTTCACAAGTTAAGCCACAAATTCTGGGGGTATTCTTATATGAAATAGCCATAGCAAGTTATATTTTAATGTTGTATTTAATATTTTGACAGTAATGGTTTTAGACGTGTTTCTAATTATTTCAAAATGGAGAATATATTTTAATTTCCTTGCTTATAAAACTATATATATTTCTACAAATTTCTACAAATTTTCAAACCATGTATGACTATGTGAAGTTAAAAAGTAAATGTCCACCGTGTCCCACCTCCAAAAATAACTCATGATATCTCTGTTGTAGATCCTTCCAGACCTTGAATAAATATATGCAATTAAAAATTCATAGCTATAAATGTATAACTATTTTTAATCTACATGGAGTTATATTATACATACTGCTCTTTATTAGGCTTAATTTTTACTTAGTAGTAAATATATCTTGAATAGTTTTCATTCCGTAATAGATGTATTTCATTTTCCCATAATGAACAATACAATGAGCATTATTATCCCATATGTGCTGTGTTATTTCGTTTAGGAAAACTACTAGAAGTGGACATGCACATACAAACAATGAAATCAGGTGCATAGCATTATAAAAATAATTATATGCTTTATAAATGTATAATCTTATTAAGGAAAGAAGCTATATACACATACACAGAATAATATAAAATAGAATATGATTAATTGGGGAAACAAAAGACACAGAGAAGATACAATTAAAAGGAGCACCATGATGGAGAAATGAAGACTTCCTTAGAGTTGATGGAGCTTAAACTGTGTATTACAGAATGAATAGGCCAAGTAGAGAGAATGGCTGTCTTGAGGTTAGGGAAATATCAGATGAAACAAATAATTGCAGGACATAATAAGGTGGCATGTATCAGCCCTATAAGGAAGCTAACATGACCAAAGCAGAGCTCCTGTGGGAATTAATGCGGGGACCAGATTATGGCTAAATTCTGCCATGTAAAGCTTGACTGAGACCTTGTGGAGAACGGGAAGATGCTATAGAATTTTATTCAGAGAAATGACATTCTCTGCAAATGCTACCCTAAAGAATGCCATAGGCTAGGTGTGATGACTCACACCTGTAATCCCAGCACTTGGGAGGCTGAGGCGGGAGGATTACTTGAGCCCAGGAGTTCAAGACTAGCCTGGGCAACGTAGTGACACCCCCCCCCCAAAAAAGAAAAAAAGGAATCCCATTGTATATACAAATGTGCCATTACAGATGAGGATCTGGGGCCTAATTAATTGCCAGTTATCGTTAATAAACTGTTGGGCCTATAGTTAGGATTTCTGAGGACAATTCTTTGAAAATTAGGCCTAAGATGTCTTCATTGGACCAGGTAGAAGACCTCTTGTAAATAACTTCAAAACTTTTTTAAAAGTTTTTTTCTTGGCCAGGTGCAATGGCTCATGCCTGTAATTCTGGTGCTTGGGAGACTGAGACTGGAGAATCACTTGAGCCAGGAGTTTGAGACCAGCCTAGGCAACACAGCAAGACCTCATCTCTACAAAAAATTAAAGAGATAGCTGGGTATGGTGGCATGAGCTTGAAGTCCCAGCTTGCTCTGGAAGCTTGAGGCAGGGGGATCTCTTGAGCCCAGGAGGTCGGGGTTGTAGTGAGCTGTATTCCTGCCACTGCATTCCAGCCTAGGCAACAGAGCAAGACCCTGTCTCAAAAAAAAAAAAAAAAAAAAAGTTTTTTCTTACTGTGATTCAGGGACAGTTATCTTTAGAAATAAAAGGCTGTTAATTTACTTTCTTTATAAGAACTAACATGATTTTTTTTAAGAGTTTTATTATTTGAGTACACATCTTACTAAGGCGGCCTTCTTACTAGTGTTTTATGTAACAGAGCCTTTTCCTTTAATTATCTTTATACAGTGTCCACATTGTCCTGGGAATTTTACTGTATTTGTTGCAGTTCTCTGAATACTTTAGCAAAGCTTGCTTCGTTTGTGTTTCTAGTTGGCAAGTGGACAGCCTTGAACAAAAGCCCCAGCCCTCAGCAAAGCAGACATGATCCACATTATAATTTAATATGAGCTACGTGTAATAACCAGCATTCCATTTTGGACAAGGGTGGTGAAGAAGTAAGAGATTCAGTGACCTGACCTATTTTAAAAGTACTTTACGTACCTGTAGATTTTGAGCATTCATAGCCTGAAGCAGTTTTATTGATAGAAGATATTTAACTGTAATAAGATTTTACTTTTATTTTTTTCTTGGTAGAAAACCAGACAAGAGCAAAGGAATCTGATTTATCAGACACTCTGAGTCCAAGCAAGGAAAAAAGCAGTGACGACACTACAGGTGAGTTTTAACCTAATGTTTATGGACCTGCAGCTGTTAATGGCAGTTTAGGTATATAGGTTAACATGAGTGGAGATTTCAAAGTTTGTGTTTGGGGGAAAAAAATGCTTCACCAGGTCATTCCCTTTGAATCTTGGATATTTTGTTAAAACTACTTTCAACTATCCAAATGTAATAGAAGTATCAATTCCGATTGTTTATTTTGATAATGATAGCTTGCTGATAGATCTGAATACTGCCTGTAATTATATATATATATATATTTTTTTTTTTTTTTTTTTTCCCTCTCTCTAGACGCACAAATGGATGAGCAAGACCTAAATGAACCTCTTGCCAAAGTGTCCCTTTTAAAAGGTACGTTAACATGTTTTTATGACATTGTAAACCAGGGCATAAAATCGCCCTTTGCCATAAAATCTGTTCTATATATTATGTAAAGTTTTAATTTTTAGTTAAGAGATTAAGATAGGTTCTGTAAAGTAGCAGGAACCAAAATTTAAAATTTTGGTGCTCATGCCCAATATTTCAAACAATTGTAGAATAATTTTGAATCAGTCAAGATTATGAGGGACAAAGTATTAAGTGGTAGAATGTGAAATGCTGTGTTTTTTGTTTACCCTTGTGTCTCTAATAGGAATTTATTAGCACTTTTAACATAATTAGGATAAGGTGGAATTCTTTCTTGAAAGGTTCACCAGTTTGCTCTATTATCATATGGTAGCAGTTGTAAATTTCCTTATTTCCTGTCGTCTTCATCTTCTAGTAAATATCCCCAGAGTCGTATGACACTCTTCTAGAAATTTTGGACTAAGAAATTTGAGATGGTGATAAGCAGTACATATAATGAACTCTTTGTCTCACCTCTAAATAGGAAGTACATGTATTTCTTGATATTTACTT